TGGAGAAAGAGGTATCTGAGCAGCTTAAGGAGCAGGAGGTGCACTCGATCGGGCTCCTTCCAGCTCAAGAGATTCTCCGAGAGCAACCAAACCATGAACCACCAGCATTAAACTGCAGGCCAAGGGCAGCAAAGCCGCTCTGCAGCAGTGGGGGATGCAGGGGAAGCCACCACACACCCCCTCCCTTGACAAAACCCCTCCAGATGTGCCACCATCACCCCTGAGCCAGGACTCGGCCTCCAAGAGCCTTTCTCCAGTCAGCAGTAACGACTCCAATCACACTCCTCATGGAGCAATCACACAATCCAGTTAGATCTTCACACCACTCACAAGACGACAGACACAGTGGAATTTTATTCCTTTATTGATAAATGCTTTCCAGACTTTCCAAACTGGATTGCTGAGTTTAAAACCAAAACCACAAAATACTTCCAACCCAAAATCCCTGGTGTCCTCCTCAGAAGACACAAAGGGTAGCTCTGTTCTGGCCACAAAGGAGAAGCTTGCGAGCCCAGTTCTGGTTTGGGAGATCTAGAACTTCAGACTTGGCTTTTTAAATAAGACCTTAAAGATTAATTTACAAAATGCAATAAACTATGTGATAGGACGCATGGCATTGAGATCTGCAGGACAGGGAGGAGCCTCCAAACATCTTCAGCTGATGGCTACGAAGGGGCTATTTGGCTTCTTTGCATCCTAGAGGAAAAGGGGCAGATGGTCACCCACAGCCAGCACACCTCAAGCCAAGGAGCCAAGCTCCCCACAGCACAAGCCATGTATAATGCAACTCCAATATGAGTTGTATTGTATTAACATATTATGTTAAAGTATATTTTAAGTGACTCCACTATAATTTGCGAGGTGTGGAGAGGCTGTTAACAGCTGTGGAAAATCCCTGTTTGGATGGATGGATGGACCATTCTGCACCCTTGTGAGCTGAGACATCTGACCACAACAGCATCACAAAAAGAACTGAAGTTGTCAATTCCAGACAGAAAATGGATCACTAAAACAAGATGAGGCATTCAAATAATCAAAACCTTATTAAGGTTAAACAGGAGCCAGCTCCAAACATGGGAGATGGCATTTTCTTGAACAGACCCATGCAGTGGAAGGACATTCCCAACACCAGCACCTTAATAACACACTGGAGGCAGATGATTGTCAGGCTAAGGAACAGGCATGAACAGACTGTGTTGACCTCACAGTCACTGGAGTATCTTGTACCTCTTTTTATTTCCCAGGTTAGCAGCTTCACAAGACTCATCTCCATATGTTAATCCTTCCTTGACATGTCAACTGCTAGGAACATGTCAGGGACTTACCATCTTTCTGATGCTTAGTTAATGTAAGATTTCTGAAGAGTATTTCTAAAGCTTCTACAAAGTAAGGATTCTGTTGGGAGAAGCTACATCAGGGGGTTGGGTTGGATTTCAAAGAGTGGACTAAACTCAGACGAGTGCTGCAGGTGGTCTCCAAGACTGGCTGCGTTCACAAACCATCACACCTTATTTCCTCTGATTTGGAAGCTTCTAAGTGAGGCTAAGGACAGAGACACTCACCAGTCTTCCTGGTTTAAGAGGTAGCAGCAACCACGCCCACCTTCTGGGCAGCTTCCTTCTTGGCTTGGTGAGCCTGCAGCACTGCAACGGCCTCCTCCACCTCAGGAGACAATTCAGCCATGAGAGCAGCTCTCCTGAGCAGGGCTCCCCATCCCACAGAACAAGCCACCTACCTTTGACCGGAGGGATTCCGGAGACTCCAGCATGTGCAGCAGCTCTGAGTTGTCAATCTCTAGCAGCATCCCTGTGATCTTCCCTGCCAGGCTGGGGTGCATAGCTTGGATCAGAGGGAACAACCGTTCTCCTGGGAGGAAAAAAAAAAGAAGGGAATTCAGACAGATGAGTTTCAATTACACAGTTGTCTGTGAAACCTGATGGGGTTTCTCTTACCCAGCATCTGTTTCTGCTCCTGTGGGGGGGCAGCAGCCAGCATGGAGGCTGTCAGTGGCTCCTGTCCCTGCACGTGGACTGCAGGCTGAGGTGCCTATGGAAGGGCAGACAGGAGGGTCCTAAAACAGGTACTAGGCTGATTGCTTCATATTTAGAGACAATTAGACAACGCTCATCCCCTCCATCAAAAACACCACCTTTGTCAAGCCTACAGCAGACTGGAGTTTCAGGGAAGGACAGATAAGATGCCCTTGGTTCACAAATATGCTCCCTCCAAGTCCTGAACTCAAAGCCCATAATGTCACACATGGGCACTGTAAGTATCTTGCAGAAACTGGATCAAACATTGCAACTGAGAAAGAGCAACAGCCACGCCTGCTTTGTTTTTACAACACAGAGGTTTGTGGGAAAAGCAAACTCTGCTTTCAATGATCCCTGAGTGGGGATGTGGCATAGAGGTGAGAGAACAAATGGCTGCAAAATGGGAAAGCAAAGAACCAAGAAAAATACCCTTACACCCAGCAAATCCGGGTGGAAAAGGGCTTGCAAGTACAAGGCAGGTGAATTAACTGCCCCTGGCAAAGGTACAAATGCCAGGTTTTTAAATTCCAAATCACGATGGGTGTCTGGGTTATAAAAGTAGCTTCAAGTTTCTGCAGAAACACTTGAGCTGCACGTAAATCCTGCTGGACTGCAGCAAGTGGAGAGAGTCCCGAGCCCAGCCCCTCGTGGTACCTGCAGGGGCTGCACAGCCGGGTGTGGGCTGCGGACACTAGAGGCATATTTGTAGGGAGGAACCGCTCGGGTAGCGGGGGCAGCCACGGGCGGGCGAGGGGCCAAACTCTGTGCTGCGGCGCCCACTCCTGCAAGAGAGGAAGAGAACAGATCTCCAGACATCTGCAGCAATGTGCAAGTTGGGATGTCTGCTGTTAACTGCTGACTTCAAACTATGCCCAGTAGAACTTCTTTAGGAACCGGTCTGCAAAGTGCAACTGGCTACTTTAGGAAGGGGCTCTGCTCCCTGACAGTAACCCAGGGATTCCACATCTGGCACTTAAGGTATGTTCTAACTATTCACTGGAATAAAATTAATTTGGATGCTCTCCTCTGAAAGCAGTATCCATAACCTAAAGAACCTCTTTTTTTCTCTTTCAGTGGTAAATGTTGCAGAGGTGTAGAGATGAGCTGCAAATCAGTGGAGAACAACCCATCTGGATTTCCACTGCTGTGCTGTAGCACCAGCTGCCCCCAGACCTGCAATGCACAGCAAGCGATAGGAAAGATTCAGGTGCTGTCTCTGCCCATTGCTTCTGGTGGTCTTCGGTTATCCATATCTGACAACCATCTTTGGAAGCAGAAGTCAAGTCTCGAGAGCATCCTCATCCCTCACAGACAAGGGGAGAGCCTGGAAGCAGACACCTTACCAACTCGCTGGGCAGCAGCAGGGAGGCCACGAGAGGCCGGGGCATTGCCGGCAGGGGCCAGATGGCGCAGTGCTGGCCGTGGTCCAGACTGGCGCATGGCATTTGGCATTCCCTGGAAGCCTAATGGAAGAAATGAGGGGAAATCCTCAAAACAGAACCCACTGGCATGTCAGGACAGTTAGCTACAGGAAGCAGGTTGGGGTTGTGCACACAAAGGAGAGCATGCATTGTTCTTGTTGTAAAGTACAGCCAAAAAGGTCACACAGGTTCTCTCACCTTGAGGTCTTCCTCCTTGCTGCCAGCGTGGGTTGGGTCTCATCTGTGCCATTTGATTGGGTGCATAGTAAGTGGGTCTGCTCTGAGCCTGAAGAAAGATCAGATGAGCTCAGAGGCAACATCTAAGTGAGTAACAAACATTGTTCACAACATGTTTTGGCAGTTGTTGCCAAGACTCAACACTCAATTCACATTAAGAGGCAGCTGGGAAGTCACAGAATACTCCACTGCCTGCACCCTTCATTAGGAGTTGTTTACAGGCACAGAAGGGCTCAGTGAGATTACTGCAGTACAGCTCCAAGACAGGTTCCAAATGAACACTAGCTCAGCTTACCTGGGGCACAGCAGGCATGAAATAACCCCCAGCAGCAGGCTGGAACTGGTTAATGATTGTGTTGGCAGGCAGGGCTCTCATCCCAGCGATGCGCTGCATGTACTGGTTGGTCAGATGGGCCTTTCGCTCCTCTTTCCTTTGGGCAAGCGCCACATACAACGGCTTTGAGCCCACAATTCGCCCGTTCATCTCTGTCACAGCTTTTGTGGCTTCCTCTGGAGAGGAAAAGCAGACAAAGCCAAACCCTTTGCTCCGTCCATCTTCCAGCATCACCTGCAGTAAAGATCAATTGCTAGTGGAGCACCATGACAAGAACTTAGCCTAAGAATCCACATTTTAAAATGTCACATTTCAGGCAGGTTGGATGTAACTGTTGCAGAGGTGTAGAGACAGGTACCCACTGAGAAGTCACCTGCCTGGATTTGCTTTGCCTTTCTGTACGCACCATGTGTCCCCAGGCCCACACTGAGCAGTAAGGAATGGGAAAGATTTGGTGCAAGCTCTAAAGGGAAATGCCATGTCATGCTTACTGGGAGTCACCTCCAACAAGCACGTTTCCCACTTCCTGCCTCCTCTTTTGATGAGGGAATGAAGCAAGTATTCAGTCAGATCCCACCAAGACCCAAAGAAATCTGTGTGTTTGCTAGCGGAGATCTTGTCAGGATCACAACGATCAGGGAACAGAAGAACTGCCCTTCAAACCCAGGTCAGATACAGTTCCTTCTTCAGGCTTTAAAATCCAAATAGCCCCAAAGCCCACAGTACCTTGGCACTTGTTATTGACCCAAAAGGTGAGAATTCCTTCCTCAGTTTTTCATCATCTATGGTGTCATCTAGGTTTTTAATATATAGGTTAACACCCTAGAAGGGAGAGAACAATGAGACATTCATAACATTAAAGAAAATCTTGAGCACATCGACTCTTAGCATCCATCTGCCAGAGCTGTAATTTATCTGAAAACTCTTAATTTAGCATCATGCTCCCTTCATACCACCCAAAGCTGAAGCAATAAATGTTGCAAAGGCGTAGAGACAAGTCCCACTGTGGTGAAAGGGAGCTTGTCTGGATTTCCTCTGCTTTCCTGTTGCATCATGTATCCCCAGTCCAGCACTGTATGTCATGGACTGGGAAAGATTTTGATGCAATCTCTGACATGAACCAGTTTTGCCATAAATTAGAGACAACAGTAGAGGGTCTGCTGTCTCTTCCATCCTTCTAGGTACCCCCATTGAAAGGAGACTGCATGGCTGCTTTCTCATGTCCTCCTACACACCTGCATTGCCAAGACTATGCCCTGATACCTCTTTGTCCCCAGATACCTTTACATTTTAACTCCCAGGATGTCTCACAGGACAATAACTACTTTATGTAACTTCTTTACAAGTCTCCCAATAGTCTGAAAATGGTGTCTAAAATCAGGAAACGAGCAGACAATTCACCTGGTACCGGCTGAGCCTCTCTTGTTTTAGCTGTTCAAACCTCCGTTTCAGCTCTGCCTGGCGCTCGACCTTCTTCTGTGCTCGGCCTACAAACACCATCTTCCCATTGATGTCCTTCCCGTTCATTTCTTCTACTGCCTGGGGAGAGGGGTCAAGAGGAAGCTGTCAACTGTTAGAGCAAACAGCAACTATTCCTGTTGAAAACAGGCCTGTCCAAAGCTCAGTTGTATCCCTGCCTGAGGGGCAATAAACCAAGGTTGCCACTTCACCTTTGCACCGTGTAACAACAGGCTAATTATAGACAAACTGACACCACCACTCTACATGCAGGAATAATGTAACTTGGGAATTTATCCCCATCTCTTACTGCAATTAAGGCCAAATTTTAATAAGCCTGCTGCTCAGAGAAGACCATTTTTAAGCAATGCTCTCACTCTAGATGCTTTCCCCCTCAAACCCTGCACTGCAGTATTTCTTCAGCAGTTGATGTTCTTGGTTATAGCACTATATTCTGTGTGGATCTAGGAAGCTGGAGAAATGCCACGTTACTGTTGAATGTCAAGCTAGTTAAGGTGCATAAGGTTTCTAAGTTCCCAAATCTGGAAGAGGTTATGCCTGAGGCAGAGCTGTCTCTCATTTTCACAGGCTTCCTCAATAAACCAAGTTTTTCTTTTCTGAAGATACCCAAGCAGCATAAAAACTGGTCATACCTTGTTAGCATCTTCATGCTTTTCAAAGCTTACAAAGCCAAAACCTTTGGATTTTCCAGTGGGGTCTGTCATCACTTTAACACTCAGAGTTTTACCTGTTACCAAGGGACAGAGTTAATAAAATATCACAGAACTATTTCAAGACTAAACTCCCAGCCCTCCCTCTCTCATCTCCCGGTCAGCCTCTGCCTCCTGTCTAACATTTGGCACAACTAGTACCCACATATCAACTCTTTATGTTCCTCAGCTTCCAAGTGATTCAGGCAGAAGTAGACAGTGGTCCTGTTAAACTCCCATGAGTCATGAAATTCACAGCCTCATTAGAAGTGCTTCTGAATTTACCATATTTGCTGAAGAGTTCCTTTAGTCTTTCATCATCCATGTCATCCCCAAAGTTTTTAATATAAACATTGGTGAATTCCTTCGCCTTGGCTCCCAACTCAGCCTCCCGTTCTTTACGAGACTTGAATCTCCCAACAAATCTGTAAGAAAGAAGGAAAATCCCAGTAAGCAGCTTGTTTTCAAGAGCGGAAAAAGCAACGTGTGACTTGCAGTGAGGCAAAAAATGAGTGTGTAGTAGAAGCTGAGAACAGGGACAAGAGTGACAGCAGAAGAGGAGGACAAACAGGCCACAGACCAACTGGAAAAATCGCCTGTCCTACAGCTGGCCAAGAATGCCCACCCAGCTCTGCAGTGGAGAGTACTGGCCACAGAAACCCACCCCAGCCCACTAGTGAAGAGGCAGCAAATCAAGGCTTGGTCAGGGAAACCCACCAGGCCCGTGATGGAGGGGTAGCAGGCCATGGCTTGGGCAGGGTCACTCACCAGCCCTGTAGTGGAGAGGTAGCAGGCCAAGGCTTGGGGCCAGGAGAACCAGTGCCTTGTGTGTCCCTGTTAATACCGAGATGCATCCCGGGTCATGCGCTCGCTGGTGCTGCTGGCTGTGACACTCACACTTTGCGGTCGTTCAGCAGCATGCCGTTCATCTTCTCGATGGCTCTGTCTGCAGCATCCTGGGTCTCAAAGTGCACAAACGCGTAGCCCTTAGAGCCATTCTCATCACACACCACCTATGTGGAAGGAGAAGAGAATGTCAGTTCTCTGCCCGTGTTTTCTGCCTCTGTCACACTCGGACACAAGGCCAGCACTCAGAAATAGGTTACTGCCAAGGAGCAGCACTACAAAGACATTATCTGTGTTTCGGATTTGTGCACTTCATGACCCAATCTGAGGTAACTTCAGCCATCCCTGAGCTTTTGGTCAACTCTGCCTTTAGAGACTCCATTCCTCACTCGGTGAAAGGTGTCCCTTTTGCTTCCTACACTGGCCATGTCTGATCGTGTCACCGCTAGAACAGAATGGGACAAAGCAACCACATCTCACCTTGCAGGACAAAATATTCCCAAACGCTGAGAATGTGTCATAAAGTGCCTTGTTATCAATGGATTTGTCCAGGTTCTTAATGAAGACATTCCCAACCCCTGACTTCCTCAAGGAGGGGTCCCTCTGAGACCACATGATGCGAATGGGTTTTCCTTTGATCACATCAAAATTCATGGTATCTAGAGCACGCTCAGCTGCAAGAGAAGTCAAGAACAGATTTCTGTGGTTTGTTAAAGAATAAAGGCTTCCATCATGTGGGTGACCGTTCCCTCTGAATTCTACTCAGCTCATGGAGGCATTTGGTGACCAATTCCAATGACTTTTTAACTCAGTGTTTCAAGGGAGGTCTTTGCAGCATATCAGACATGTTTAAGTATGGAATAGGCTTAAGAGACTGTTTTAAATTCATATTAATGTTTTAACAACCACAGCAAAATGAATGTCAAAATGCCTGGGGTTTATCAGTTAGTCTTAACTATTGTAAAGGTAAATTGCTCCACCCAAAGAAGGAAAATAAACACAGGAAACCCTGGGGGAAGAAGGGAAGTAACAAAAGTGACTGTTTGGCTTGGTTGCTTCTCACAAAGCTCACATCCACCCATACTCATCTCTGTGAAGAGAAAAGGATCATCTCCCCATCGGATCAGGGAGACTGTGCATGAACACGTGGCTGGCTGAAGAAGGCATGAGGCAGCTTCTGACTTACGTGGCCAAAAAAAGATTCCTAAGTTGCTCAATCTAAAGATGACAGCAAAAGTGGACAAAACTCTGGAGGGAAAAAAGCCCATAACCTGATCTGACGAACAGGGAAGTGTTGATCTAAACTCAAAAAACCCAGCACAGTCATTCTAACCTACACTGAAACCCCCTCCATGATTCTATTTCTGCTCCCTCCTGCTATATTAAAAGGATCATTACGTACACACATCAGGATCCTGTTCATAAAATTGAGATGCTTGGGACTCTTCTGTGCCAGAAAACACTCCCAGCATGGAGCAAGCAGAGAAAAAGACAGACTGTTAATCCCCAGCATGAAGCGGGGAAATAGAGGAATAGACATGCATTAAAATCAAGGACAGGGCAGAACCTGAGTTTTCCAGATTTGTTTGGCTCAGTTCTTCCAGGCCACCTTCACCCAGAGAGAATTGATCAGATTTCAAAAGCAGGAAATTCAAGGAAAATAGCAGTTCAAACACTTTCTTTCATGTGACTTTGTTGGTACAGCCAGAGCTGCACTACTCAGCATTTCACAAAACTAGCTCCAGGAACCCCAATGGGACATTGCCTACAAAAGTCTTCTACACTCCCTACCCCCAAAATCAACCTTCAGCTACTGCATGGAAGTTTCTCAGAATGATTCATGCGCTTTGAAATGTTCTTCTTGTTGCTTTTTCAACTGAAGTGGTGCCGTTGCTATTTTCCCCAGTCCTTCACACATACACCCAGCTGGGAAACAAGCTCTGCTGGACTTCATCCCTGAAGTAGTCAGGAAAAATAAAAGGAGGGAAGTTATAGCAGCAAGGACTCTACTAGCTCGGTTCAGCCCAATGTGTTAAATGCAACTAACTGCCGGGCTAAAATGCTACACTGAGTCAGTGCAAGTGAGGTCCTTCCTGCAGCCCATTCCTAGGAGGCACTTCAGCAGGCAACTTGGTCCAGCTTGTCAAATTTGGCAACGTTTATTTATAGCAGGGAGAGGTCCTCCAGAAGCATGTGTTGGCAAGGACATAAACTAGTTGCATATACCATTTGCAGCAGAAACAGCGCACCTGCTGAAAGGAGACAATCC